ATACAAAGTCAAGACTATATTTTATACATATATTTTACATTTTAGGGTCATTAGCCCACTAAATTTTCTTATTAGCCCAGGTCTATTACTCCATTATAATTATAAATATTTGACCTTTTTTAATTTTGTTTTTATGTCAAATTATTCACTTCTCCTTTATTGTCTTGTTTATGAAAATAATGATCATGTAATTTTTTTTGCTAGGACGAAGCTTATAATTGTTATATCTTGGCTACTATGTATTTGTTTTGTGTAATTCGTCAACGTTCGTATTCTTTCAAGAGGAAAATGTTGTTCTTTTTTTGGTTGATGGTCAACCCGTCCCTACCCATGGCCCACTTTGGGCTGGGTGGGGCTGCTATTTTACAGACCCCTTAATTAAAGGGCAACTTTCACATATAGCAAATATAAAATTCATATTTGTATGCTATAGCAAAATTTGCATAATTGCACTCCGTAGCAAACATATAAATGTATAATTCGCTATAAAAATATACAATTGAATCAAATTGTATAAAACGAAGTGTATAAAACGAGAAAGAGAAAGAGACTTGGGCAGAGAATTGTAAAAAAATGAAGTGTATAAAACGAATTGTAAAATTATAAGTGTATAAAACAATTATATGCAATTTGAATTTGTATAAAATGAGAAAGAGAAAGACAAAGAGATTTGGGTAGAGAATATATAATTGAATCTAATTGTATAAAACAAGAAAGAGAAATTATATACAATTTAAATTTGTATAAAACGAGAAAGAGAGAAAGGTAACGGAAACTGGGCAGGGGAGTATTTTTATTGTATAATTATAAGTGTAGGATGAAAATATTTGTATTTGTATCTGTATATACAATTTTCTCTCGCTTTATCTCAACAGAAACATAATTTATACATTTTGCTTCTGTTTGTATAAGCGAGAGAGGCGAGGGTGACGAGCGAGATCTGGGAGAGGGGAGAGAAGGGAACAAAAATATATATATTTATACAATTTCCTCTGCTATACAAATAGAAACAGATTTTATACACTTGTGTTTGTATAAAAGTGAGAGGAAGCAAGCGAGAGAGGATTTGAGGGAGAGAGGTGACTGATTAACATTTTTCTACGTGACACAATTAAATCAAAGGGTGGTTATAGCAATTAATTTGTCATTATATACAATTTTTTCTTAATTAAAAGGGTCAGCCCGTCACAACCCATTTAACTCTCAAGCCTGTTATGGTTGGGTTGGGTTGGGCCAGACTATTTTGACAACTTTATTTGCACTATTTAATAGTTATTTAACTCTCAAGCATGTTAGGGTTGGGGGCCAAAAGTTTGAAATCTACAAAAAAAAAATTATGATTTTTGGGATTTTTTTTATGATTTATGGGAAGTGAGCCTTCTTTTCTTGAATGTTTTGCGGCTTCATCAAGCTTTGGATCTGTTAGTGGGTATAATTTTTCTGTTGATTTTTTTTAAAGGGGAAAAGATATACCCTAAGAATTGCAGTTTAGTCTCAATTATCTAAACTAAATAAGGTGTTTTTCTTGATTACAGTGAAGCAGGCATCTGGTAATTTATCAAGAAACCCTTCTGCTATAAATGGCGAAGAACAGGGGCAGGAGGATTTTCAAAAAAGAAAAAGTTGCAGAAGATTGGTGTTTTCAGTGCAAGGATGGAGGAGAGCTCATGATTTGTGATCATGGGTAAGTCTCTTTTTTTTTTCTGACTTGGAGGTGGACGGTACTCTTCCCATCCGAGCAACTCCTGTTGTTCGATAATGGGAAAGTCCTTGGGTTAAAATACCAATTTTATTTTGAACAATTTAAAAACTACGTTTTTCTTTTTCTGTTCGGGCTTTGCTTTCTGGATGAAAACGTAGACATCATTTGGAAGTTTTTTTTTTTGGCTTGAAAAGAACACATGTTCCATCTTTAAAATTGCGCCTCTTCTTGGTGGTCGAATTGTATGGAAACATCATCTTTCTCAGAACCCTAGGTTGTTGGTTAAAATAATTGCAGTTGCTCATTGCATATGGTGAGAAAACAAGAGTTTGCGAGAGAACTTAGCTTGATTGTTCCCACAAGCTGTGGGGTTTAAAGAACTAAGTTTACATGTTCTATAAGGGAAAGGAAATCAATATAAATCAATACCTAATTAAAATAGGAGTAAATCAAGCCACCTACTATATTTACATATATGATATAGAATATTCTACTTATGTAATTTAGATGGGCAGAAATTATCATATAAATATCGCCCTTTTGTTTTATTTTAGGATTCTATCACGCTCTCTTAAGCTGGTGCGTACAAATTATATGTACCAAACTTGTTAAATGCATAACTCGTTTTGGGACCGGCTAGGGACTTAGTGAATATGTACGCAAGTTGGTTATTTGACTGCACGAACCTTGTTACAATGTCTCCTAAGAGTACCTTTTCACCGAGAAATGACAATCAATATTTATGTGTTTGGTCCTCTTGTAAAACATTGTGTTTGATGCAATGGGAAGTGTAGCTTCATAATCGCACACAAGTTCCTTTCCATTTGTATCTCCTAATGTCAACTCTTTCCGTAGTTGCTTGATTCATATGAGTTCAGATGTTGCCACTATCATGGCGCAATATTCCACTTATACAGTGGCTAGAGCTAGCAACCACATATATTTCTTACTTTTCCAAGACACGAAATTTTCCCCGACTAGAACACAATATCCAGATTTGGATCCTCGGCCTTCATAATGTAATTCTTTCCATGGACCAAATTTTATGTATCGAATGATGCCAATAATTGCATTCTAGCGACTACACAAGGAGAATTTAAGAACCGACTTACAACATCAACATGAAAGGTAATATATCGAGTCACTAAGATAATTCAACCTTCCTACTTGCGTTCTATATCTTTTAGGATCGCTAAGAGGCTTCCCTAACCTAGTAGGAGCTTAACGTTTGAATACATTAGAAAATTAAAGGTGCTGCAATCTGTCATCCTTTTCTCTCCAAGATTATCAAGTGCATACTTCCTTTGTGAAAAGACAATTTTTGATTTGGATTGAGCAACCTCAATGCCCCAAAAGTACCTCAATCGACCAAAACCTTATTATGAAGATGTTGGAAAGGGTGATGTTTCAATTCAGTAATTTCCTCATCACTACCTGTGATAACTATGCCATCAACATACACTACCAATCATGCACAAACCTGGAGCAAAGTTACAATAAAGCACATAATGATCAACTACACTTTGTACTATGTCAAACTTCCCAACAACTATGCTTAACTTCTAAACTATGCTTGAGAAGATTAGTTCAAGACATAAAGGGCTCGTCGTAGTCTATACACCATGTTACTAGACTTCCTCCGAGTAACAAATTTAAATAGTTGCTCTATATTTACCTCATCTTTGAGATCTCCATGAAGAAAATCATTTTTAATATCCAACTGATAGAGACACCAATGATGCACAACCACCATGGATAAAAAGAGATGGATTAAAGCAATCTTGGCCATAGAAAAAAAGGTATCGCAGTCGTGACCAAAAATCCTTGTATAACCGTTGGCCGAGTCGTGCTTTGAGGTGATCAATCTATCCATCAAGGCCAACCTTCACTGTATATGCCAAATGACAACCAATTGTTGATTCATCTGGAGGTACATGTTTTCAAGTACCACTAGAGTGTAAGCAAACATCTTCTCAATCATAGCTTATTACCAGCATCAATAACAAAAAGTTTTTCCTATAGTCTTAGAGTAGCCACAACTGATAGTGATGTTGCAAAGGCAGAATAGGCCAGTGATAAACGATGATAGCACAAACAAGTACAGGGTGAGGTTATGAGTAGAGCAATTATTTGTACGAATGACAATAAAAGAACTCTATGTAGACCAGTCCTCAGTAGGCAAGGATTCCGGTGGCAGGCATGCATCATATGTGCACGAACAATAATGATAGGTCAATAGTAGTAGAGGTGCAAGAGGAAGATGGAGTTATACATCATGACATAGAAGGATATACTGTGGTGGTATCTCTTAAAGATATAACTAGTATAACCTCATAAACGCCTAATTAGTTAGCAAAAAAAGATGTAAAGTAGGGTTGACCTTCAAAAAACATCAACTGACATAAGGTATTGCTAGAGGTCAGGTGAGCAACATCGATATCCTTTCAATACCCTTGAATGACCAGGAAAAACACTTTTAAGACTAGGGGAGCTAATTTGTCTATTCTTGGAGCGAGTATATGGACAAAATATGTGCTTCGAAAGATGTGTGGTAGAAAAGAGAATAAGGTTGATTGGGGAAACAAAATCGAGTGTCGACCTGATTTTGAATATCATTCTAAGGCATACGGTTGGATAACAAAGGGGAGCACTACATTTCCTCTAAAGCGCAATGGAGCATTTGCTTGAATGAGATGAATGCATGCTTTCTCAACAATTTCCCTATTTTCTCTCTCTGTGGCCCAATTTTGTTGTGTACTCTAAGGATGAGGTTTTTTATGAAAAACTCCATCGGAAGAAAGAATTTTTTTAAGTTGAGATTATAAATATATACATGCATTATCACTACGAAAGGTGCTAGTAGAAACGCTAAATTGTTTTTTTTTTAAATTTCAATACAAAAAGTTCGAAAATGGAAAATAATTCAAAATGATCTTTCTTTAAGATCATACAAGTGCACCTTGAGTAATCAATAATGAGAGTAAGGGGTTGTTTGGTATAACGTATAATAATAGTGCTAAATAGAGTATACTAGTAATGCTTGTATTGTGTTGTGTTTGCATTAATTATACATATATTATTTCTTATACATTGTTAGGATAAGAAATATTATTTCTATAGATTAAGAAAATAATAATTAATCTATAGATTAATTATAAATACGTTATTTCTAGATATTATATACAAAAGTATCTTCATAATTATGGTAGAAAAGACGTAGAAGTAGTTTTAGGGATAACTGTATCTTTAGCTATGTTAATGCATGCATTAATCCCTTGCGTTACTAATACCTAGAAATTCATAGGTATAGGTGAGTGATCTCTAGATTGTTTCTCGTATTCTCCCCCACTTTGAAACCTTTGATCCAACCATTTGCTTTTGCAATTTGGAATAGGTTGCTCAACCCTTCCATAACCAAGATAAAAAGAAAAGGAGATAGAGGTCCCCTTGTCTCAAACCCATGTTTGATGGGAAAAACCCACATGGTTTTCTGTTGATCAGAATAGAGAATTCCACTGAACTTATGCGATGTCTGATCCACTTTAACCATCTTTGACCAAAACCCATCCTCTGCATCATCTTCATCAAAAAGTTCCAATTCAGGTGATCATATGCCTTCAGGATATCCAGCTTGCATAGGATCACGGGTTGTTTGTCCTTTTTCCTGGAATCAACACATTCATTGGCTATCAACACTGCATCCACGATCTACCTGCTCTTGATAAAGGCATTTGTTGCTTGTTCACAAGTTTATGCATCACCTTCTTTAGTCTTTCAGCCAAAAGTTTTGCAATTATCTTGTAAACTCCCGCCACTAAACTTATTGGTCTAAAGTCATTAAGTTCTTCTGCCCCTAACTTCTTAGGTATCAAAGCCACAAAAGTAGCATTTATACTCTTCTTAAACACTCCTTCCATATAGAAGTTTTGAGATAACTTTGACAAGTTGGGTACTTGTATTTTTATGTTTGGATAAACTAAGGTGTCCCAATCGTCTGTGAATTAAATCTAGAGAGTCAAGGACCGAAGCCTCATTTGTTTTTATTAAGATTAAGACTTCTGAATTTGAATGCACATCTTAAGATCGTGTATGTAGGTCTGCACATTGAATGATTAAGATTCTTTATTTCTAATTCTCTGATTATGTGTAGAATTTAATGCCTCAGCCAAACGACTTACTGATAAGAGGATTCTGATTATAATTGCTGTACTAGTGTATGCACAGTATCTCTGGATAGTTTCAGAATAACAGAACAATGGAGGTTTTGCTGGAAAAATGATTAGCAATTTTGTACTCTTATTTTATTTTTGCTTTCTAATTAAATGAAGTGTTGGTACCATGTGAGAAAACAATAGTATGAGAGAGTACTTAACTTGGTTATTTCCCACAAGCTATTGAGGTTTAAATAGCTGAGTGTACATGTCCTTAAAAGAGGAAATCAATAGCTAATTAGATAGGAGTAAATCTAAGAGTAAATCAAACCACCTACTATATATACATATATGCTCTAGAATTAATAATGTATGTAAGAAAATAGATACAGGTTGCACCCAAGGATGTGATCTAGTGGTCAATGAAGTGGTTGAAAATCAGGTTCAAATTTCAGCGGAGACAAAAAACAGTATGATTCTTTTCATTTGTCCTACCCTTGGTGGATAGAGATACCTGGTATCTATTGTTGGTGGGAGGTGGCAGGTATCCTATGAAACTAGTTGATGTGATAGAATACTAGCCCAGACACCACGGTCATCATAACAAAAAGTGGTCAGTTTCCAGCTGGGATATCCTTATTAGGAACGTGTCAACTTTACTTCTATGGAACACAAAGTCTATAGATCCGCACTACTGTCAACTTTACTTCTATGGAGGAACAAAGGTTGTAGATCCTCTGATGTCAACTTGACTTATATGAAGCACAAAAAAATCTATATTTTCTAAACCTCACGCTCTACTTTCTGGTCATTCATCTTTTGAGATGAGCACCGCTCTTATGTTTAGAATTTTTGTTAAAAGCTTCTGAAAATTAGTGATAAAAGCAGCATACGGCTTAGCAATTAGCTAGGTAGTCTTTGTTTTGGTTAGCTTTTTTTCTTTTGGCTAGGTACTCTGCAATGGTATTCATTAGGTGTTCCAATTATTTTTACTAAATGATTTTTTCTCTACATGGACTTGTACTAAACAATATATTTTCAACTTTGCAGGGGATGTTTGAAAGCTTATCACCCTGAATGTGTGGGGGTAGAGGACTCAGTTTTGACAAGTGATGAACCTTGGATATGTGGCAAGCCTCTTAATTCATCTTTCCTCAAGCAAATTTAATATTTCTAAATTTACTTTGTCCTTATGTTTTTTCTGGGAGTTCTTTTCCTTTTGCTAGTTTATCGATTTTGACTAACCAAAGTTAAGCGTGACAAAGCTTAGTGTATATTAAGTGAAAAAGGCAACTGAATTTTGAGTTTCTGTTATATTGAGATTTTTCAAAATAATTCACTGCAAAAAAAATTGTATTTGCTATTTCTCCATGTATACTAGACTGAACATGGATATGGACTGCTCTTCTTAAATAATTTGCTTAATAACCTTGCAGTCGCATACACTGTACTAGGTGTTGCTTACCCTTTTACTTGGATGAATCAAAATAGTTTTCTTTGATAAAAAGATATTATTAAAGGGAGGACTTTAAGCTATACATTAGTCGAAGTTCCATGATATCCTCTGTCAGATATAAGGAATTAGAAAACCGCCACTTTGACAAACAAGGTTTCCAGTGGTTTGAGTGTTTGGAAAGTAGTAGTAACTTGGAAGGCTTTTATTTTTTAATTTATTTTTGTTTTGCATTCATATACTTCTCGTTAAAAAATAAGCTTCCAATAAGGCCAAATGATTCCTCCCATAGTATATAACGGTAAGGCATCGAGTAGTGGTTGAAGTCCTCCTTCATGTCACTGTAGCTGCTTTGGGGTTATTAGTTAATTTTACACTCCTATCTTGCCTCAATGAATTTTTTTGATGGTTGGATGTCACATTTAAAATCTTAATCAACTTGCCAGTTATGCACTAAATTAACAACATACTCTGTATAGAAAAGTGGGTGGAGTTTGGATAGGGTAGTGTGTACAACTATGCATAACCTTCCACTTCCTTGTGAAGTTAGAGAGGTTGTTTCTAAAGGACCCCAGGCCTAAGTAATGCATATTAAAAGGAAATAGAAGTGAAGAAGTTCATTACCAATTTTTTTTAAAAAAATAGTAGTGAAGAAGTCATGTTGAAAATAATGGAGAAAAGAACAATAACAATAACAAATAATATGATAACCTAAGCAAAAGAGAATAAAACAATAGGTAAAAAAATCGAAGAATAAGATGGTTAGGAGAGTAACAACAATAATACTGATAGGGAAAGCTAGACAACTCGACAATCTACTACTTTCTACCCTAATTCCTCGACCTCCATATTCTCCTATCTAAGGTCATGTCCTCGGGTAAGCCGTAGTTGTGCAGTCCTATCTAATCACCTCTCCCTAATACTTCTTCGGTCTATCTTGGCTTCTCCTTAGAACCAACTTGTTCAACCTCTCACACCTTCTCACTAGGACATCTGATCATGTTCTCTTCACATGTTTCAAACTATATCAACCTCGCCTCCGTCATCTTGTCCACCACAGGGACCACTTGCACTTTGTCCAGAATATCCTCGTTTCAGATCCCATCTTTCCTAGTATGCCCATACATCCATTACATCATCCTCATTTCCGCTACTTTGAACTTTTGGACGTGTGAGTTCTTGATTGGCCAATACTAAAATGTTTGATTTTAAAATGTTACTCATTATAAATCATCTTTTTTTTCTTCATTAAATTTATGAACCACTGGATTTATCTCAACTGCAGCAGTTCCTGGTATGTATGCTGGTGGGACCCTGTGTTGATAGCTTCCCAAAGAAGTAAATCCTTCTGTTCTATGTTCCTTACAGAGAACGGGAAAATGTTGTCTCATGTTTACTACATCTCCTCTATTTAGAAAGTATTATTCAAGAAGAGTCCAACTTTTACATCCTCGTTTGAGATGTCACTTATTACGTCGTGATAAAAGACTAATGAGAGCGTGTGTATATATAGTACTTCGCAATTGCTTTAGTTAATGATCTCCAACAAATCTCCAAAGAGATGGCCTAGCGGCTAGGAGCTGGATTTAACAACTCAGTGTAATCCCACAAATGAGTATAGGGTTTCTAATACTAAGTATTAAAATATTTTGAAGAAAATCTTTGGAGTATAGTTGTCAGAATTTTAGGCGATTGATATGCAGTACATAGTAGGAGAGAGAGGGGGAGGGGGAGAGAGAAATAGAACTTTAGTGAACATCTTACTATGGATCTCTATTATTTTGTCTACTTCTTGTATGTGGGAGCCCTTTCCCTTTGTAAATGAATATATTTCTTTAAACTTGATAAAAGAAAAATGGACATTTTACTATGAATATATGATAGCCCTTTAAATGATTTTGCATATTGCTCAATTCTAGTATATACTATTTTAGGTTCCAAAAAAGAAAGTTTTGCTTCCATTTTTGTTCAGTCTTAAACTGGAGTTTATTTTCATTCAGCAGATAGTATTATGTTTTAATGCAGCATTAAATGTTTTGTGGGACCAGATTCTCAAAAACAAATACTAACCAACTGATGTTATAGATTCTTCTCTTAGTTACAACGCCAAAAGTCAAATTACGAAAATACATCCTATGTGGAAGAGGGAAAGTTTGTTTCAGAATTGATTGTGAATCTATTTCATTCTATGAAGAATGTTTGCACAAAGCACTTGAATATATTTAGTTGTGCTGATGGCATATGAAAAGCTTTTGTTCATTTTGAGTGATGAGGAAAATAAGATCGAGAAAGACTTCAGACCCCCCCCCCCTCCCCCCTCTAGAGCGTATACTTAAGGATGCATGCATGGAAGCTCAGTAAAATAATTTGCATATTCTAACTCAAGATATAATGTCTTGGCACAAATGAAATGAGTAATTTTCTAGGCAATTTCTGAGGGTCTCACATATCTCCATATTTAGGCAATTCTATGGTCAAGGAATTATAACTGTTCTTTTCTAGAGCCAGTATTTTTCTTTATTTCTTTGTGTAGTTTAGATTAATATTTGTTTCCCAAGGCAAAAGGTAAATATAAAGGCATAAAAATAAATTAGAAGTATGTGTTATTGGATCCTGGCGGCTAGCCCTATTTCATGATGAGCAAGTATGATTAATGGTTATTTAATTCCCTTAAATTTAAACTACTTGAAGGATGATATTCTCATGTGTAAATAAATTATGATAAGAAAATTGTTAAGCTCATAATAGACTTACTCTTAACAAATATAACTTAATATGTAGATACAAGTTTGAGTTCCATACTGAACCTCAGCCTTAATTCTCTACGGATAGACTTCTTTATCATACATGTGCATGCTTAAAAACCTTGATAAGAATATGATAATACATATAAGCCAAGAGAATATAAAATGCTTAAAATAATTATATTCTGAGAAATGATTACTGTAATCATGTATTTTTTTAGTGTTGGAGTTTGATGTAGGAACAAAATTTCCTTTCAATTACAAAAAAATATTAGAATAAATATTATTGCTTATGTTGGCTCCAAATTGCTACTACACCACTTTTTGGAACGATGAACCACAATGTTAGAGATTAGAAGTCTGTGGTAACTGTTGCTGAAATAGATAAGCATTTATCACTCAAAGACATTAGATAAATGGATAGCCTGGTGTATCAAGCTTCCTATGTTCACACAGGCTCCAGGGAAGGCCACACCCCAAGGAACTGTAACGTGGATTTCATTCGAACATTTTAAGTTTGAGTACTTATATATTGTTGACTTATATATTCTCGTGTTAATTTAACTGGTCATGTATTGCTTTTTCATTACATAGAATAAATATAGATAAATATAGTTGTGCAAAATGTAACATCAGTTTTACCGTGTTCCAGGACGACATGCATGCTTAGTTTGCAAAGGAAAATCATATTATCAGTGTTATTGTTGTGATAGAGCTTCATGCTGGAGCTGCATTGGTGAGGTTGACTTTGTCCATCTTAAAGGGAGGAATGGATTGTGTAATAATTGCCTAAAGCTCGCATTGCTTTTGGAAGAAGACAGGAATATTGATTCTGATGGGGTATGCATGATTATTATGTTACTCGAAAACTGTATTTTTTTGGTTCAGTACTGATTAATTAGTTTACATTTTGGAAATGTTTATCTATAAATCCAAAGAGAACTTGTCATGGAAAAATATTGACTGAACTAGCCCAGAAAAACAGCTTGAAAGTGAGGGGGTGTTTGGACTGACTTCTTTAAGTGACTTATAAGTTAAAAGTCACCAGTTTGGGAACCCCCAACTTTTGACTTTTGGCTTCTTTTTGTACTTTTTTCAGCTTTTATGCACTTTTTGTGTTACCCAAACACTTTCAAAACTAAAAAATACTTAAAAAGCCAAAAGTCACTAAAAATAAGTCAATCCAAACACCCACTTTACAGCATGACACTTTATAGCATTGACATACAATTACGTTATAGACGGAGATAAATGAAGCCAAGTCTATAAAGAGCATTGAGAGGTGACAAGTTTGACAACAGGAAAGTATGAGATGCGCTATTGGTTTCTCTTTAAAACACTATATTCATTTGTGATCAGAAAAAGTGAATGATTATTATGTATGAAAAAAGATTAAGTTTCCTGTTCAGTTTTCAAGGTGAACTGTATTTTAGAAGTTCAAAAAGTTAACTTTCTCTCAGGAAGTGGCTTCACACAGGTTTAACTAAGAAAATCTTAGTTGTATTCAATAGGTATTGATTTTATCGTCATTTTATTGTTTCCTGAATTAATTCTACCTCTAGGCGTCTGAATATTGAGTTTATTCTAGTAAAACGTGGGGAGGATATTATCACAATGATCTTCTTGTGTCAGAAACTCTATTAACAGCTTACTTTCCTCTGTTTGAGCATGTGAGATTACGTCTTGCATTTTATCACTAGTATCGCATTGGCAATATTCAGTTAGATTAGTCTTTCTTTTATTGCTTGATATATCTCCTTTCCTATTTGCTTTATTTTTCCTCTAGTTAATGAGTAATATGTTCCATTTTTCATATGAATGACTGTTACTTTCCAGTAAATTGCAGACTTCAGAGATCGGGAAACATACGAGTGCCTTTTCAGGGAGTATTACGAGTTAGTAAAGGAAAAAGAAGGAATTGACAAAAATAAACTTCTTGCTGGTAAGGCTCAACTAGACAAGGAGAAGATAAGCCAAAATAGTTCTTATTCAAATAAACGTTGTGAGAAAGAGGATGAGCAGTTTTCTTCAGGCAATGAAAATTTCAATGATGGAGAACCTCAGAAGAAAAAGCTTAAAATGAAAAGATGTACACAGCAGAAAACAAAGACGCAAAGCAAAGTCATCGGCAGCCTTGAACAAAACAAATTATCCTCAATTTGGTATTCAACTGCACCAAAAAGTCAATTTGCAGCCTTGATTCCTGAAAATATCAAACTCGTTTACCTGAGGCAGAGCTTGGTAATGGAGTTGATCAAGCAGCCTGAGTCAATTAAAACCAAGATTATAGGAAGTTTTGTTCTGGTCAAGTTAGATCCACGGCGTAACTCTCATCAGCTTGTGCAAATTACAGGTTGTTTTAACAAATGATTTTATTCTTTGATTTGTCTTGAAATGGTTGCTAGCATCTATCGGTGGACTAATGTGAATATGATGCTGCATTATGCTCGTGTTTTCAATACCTGAGTTTTTAGATAATTGGACATCAACTAGCCAGAACACCTATTTTTTTTCCTAAAACAAATGATTATGTTTTCTCAACCAACTTTGTTTACACTTTTGTGGTTATCACGACATTAATAATCTGTTCAAGCACATGAAGCTGAAGTTGAATCTTGAAACTCATCTTCTCATAATTTCCTTTGGGCTAGTCATTATTGTGTTGTTAATATTGAGAGAAGAGTTCATGCTTTACACCCTCTATATTATGTTTTGGAACATATAGATCTTCTTTACAATTTGTTGTACTTTGTTTGCCCATGTCATATGATACTATTATTATTTGGCGAGTCTAATTGTTTCTTTATTTGACTACGATATGTTTAAATACGTTGGTTCGATTTTACCAAATAATTGTGATTGGCAGTAATTAGCAATATGTATTTTAAAAATATGTAAATATTATTTTTAAAATGGTTAAACATCGATGTCAGAATACGCGTAGAGAATCAGATGAGTGGATTCCGGATCATACCACTCTTTCCGGAACGGAGGATGATCGTTGCTAAGCTAAAACAAGTTACTCTCTCCAACCCAAAGAAAAAGAGTAGAAGACCTAGTTTGACTAGCACCATAGGTTGAGAGAGAAAATTTATAATAAATTACTATTATTAAACTTAATACTCCCTCGTCCCATTTTTATGTGGCACTTTTCGGATTTCGAGATTCAAATAAGGCTATGTTTGACCATAATTTTTTCATAAATCTTTTAAACATTTTGAATTATCAACTATTGTGACTTAAAGTACTTTTTTATGTTTTTTTTCAAATATATAAATTTCATTTAATTTGATGATTCCATGTGTAAATTCCTGTCAAACTTAAACTGTTTGACTCTCGAAAAACAAAAAAATTCACATAAATTGGGACACAGAGAGTAGTATTTAGGGAAATTTGATATGTGAATAGAGTGGATTAGTTCGATGAAAAGATATGACGTGGTGAAATAAGTAAATCAATCAATTAAAGAAGCTCAGTAAATTTTGAAGAGAAAAAGAAATGCAGGTCGAAAAATTGGATGGAGATATTGAGGCCATGATCATAATATTATTCTTATCTTCCAAGTCTTAATATAGAATATTTATCTTCCATTGAAATATTAATCTTGACCACCAATTTTGCTTTCAAACTGACATCGTTCTTGTTTAAGGAGTGTTCTCAGGGACCAAGCTTGGATCAAGTGATACGTGCAACAGCGAGAGTTCAATTCAAGTTTCAAATGTGGCAACAGATGTTAGCTTGACCATGCTTTCAGATAAAGATATTTTAGAGGTAACCTACTTCATCTTTTGAGGGCATCTGTCTATGCAAACTCTACTTATAATTTGACATGATTTTTCAGCTAATCAGCTATATAGAATTTGACATGATTTGTGGTTAACCCTTCAATTCAATGAATTTCGACATTTTCCTGTGTTTTTCAGGAACATTGTGATGTGCTCAGAAAAAATGTGAAAGCTGGGCTTCAAAAGAAGCTTACAATTGTAAGTTTTCTTGGATTGCATTTTGAAATAACTATTACGCTGAAACATAGTCTAGATATTATTATATGACTGAAAGCTTTGTATGATTAACTGTTGTTTTCTGCATAAAATACCCGCAATTAAATGACTTCTGCAAAAAGTGATCTCTCTGTCGGCACTGCTCGGTACAAGTTCTGGTTGCCTCTAGAAAACCCAATTTCTCTTTGTTATGTAGTGTTAGAGCTTGTAATATGGATTTTGAGTGGGAACTAGTTTCTCCAGTCTCAGCTCTTCAGGCGGCATGCTGTTTGCAATATACGACATGCTCTCTTGCGGATTACATACATGAATATACGACTGTTATAATCTTGTATCCTTCATGTTCTATGGTGTGACCCCTCTGGTGGGAAGGAACTAGTAGAGCCTGGGTGGATCTTTGCTGGGATAGTGGCACCCAATTCTTAACCATTTCTGAAAAAAGACACAGATCAAGAGAGAACTACTGGAGTGATCACGTGAATTTTCAATCTTCTTCTCCTCCTAATCCTTTTCCCTTATCGTTGTAGATTGTTGGTGGAAAAATGAGGGCTGTAATGTGAATATGTTCTCCAGTCCCGGTCTCTGGCACTAATTATTCTGTGAACTTATAGTGTCCTCAGTTTTGGTTTCACCAAGTAAGAGTGCCTGCTAGCTGGCCTTTATCATCATGTTGCATTTCAAATAAAAAAGCATGTCCTACTGAAACCCGTTTTCTTCTTTCTTTTTAAGCAAACTCTACAGCACCACATCAACAAAAGTTTGTTCCCATCATCTGCATGTTACATGAATATTCTTTTTCTTTACGAGGATAAGACATAAATTGCATTATTGGGAAGGTCACAAGATAGAATATAACTGGACTTTGAATAGGTGCATCTAAAACACTAATGCAGATCAGCCAAACAACATGATTCAATAGTGAATTACGTGGATCAGTGCACTTCTTGCCTAGTCCAGGAGATCAGATCTTGGTGCTATTTTGAGTTCACTCCATAGAGATCAGATCTCCATAGATCGACAACATATGAAGCAGTTACTTCCTTGGTCATTCACCTGTCTTCCTCCTCATTCTTAGCATCGATGACTTTCCCCCACAGCATTTGCTTGTTAATTACATACTTCCACAGCCATTTCATTCTGAGAGCCTTACTGTGGTTTTTACTCTTTCAGGTTTTTAATTCCCAGACCCCCATATCTTCTTCCACTATCAGATCTTTCCATTTGACAAAGTTATAGCCTTCCCTTTTGAATTTCCTTTTTTTTAAAAAAAAATTGCTTTTGAGTTTGTATCACTTCATTTAAAATAATGAGCTACTGGAAAGGGAATACTTCTATTTAATTTGCATTTGGTTTAATCATTATGCTCACTTGTTGGCATGGATATATTCCCTGAGCCATGGGGGAGACCCATATCGAATAAAAAAATCTTGCTCTGACACCATTTAGAATTGTGTTTGTCATCTCTATTGAATGTTTGATCTATTAGAAAGTTGATACTTCTAATTTAACCTTCTACATTTCTGAAAGATACAAACTCAGTTCCTCAAGTTTTCCAGTTATAGATTCAGTTGAACTCCAATTTCATTTAGTACTACCATAAAACTTAATCTCCTATTTGCAGGTGGAGCTTCAACAGAGGGCTAAAATCCTTCACGAGGACATCACAAAGCACGTATGGTTTCAGTCTTTCCAAGTTACTTTTAAAGTTGGATAATTTATTTTCTTAGGAACTCTTTGTTGTTTTGGATAGCTTGTAGCTCTACGAATTTATACTCCATTGGCATGATATCGTGCAACATGGATTAAATGCTTTAAAAAGATTTCAGCTTCCATTTCAGTAACATGGAGTTATTAGGGACCTGTTTATTTTATCTTGATTCCATATATTTGCGTAACATCTAATATCTGGTGACACCTTCACTTTTAATGTCAAGAGGATTGCTCGAGAGCTGAAAGTGTTGCAAGGAAAAATTGATCGAGCAAATGAGAAAGGATGGAGACAAGAATATCCTTTTTTCCTTCTTTTTTTGGGTGACTAAATTTATCGTATTTGACAGAACGCCAAACCAGTCCCAAGGATGGAAAATTAGCACAGATTTGGTAGTAAGCTTCTGTGTATGGTCACCAGCATTACTTTCTATGATCACCAATTTCATCCTAACCTCTATGTTCCTCCTTTATCATCTCATCCTTCATTTCCTAATTATGTCTGTGTGTACTGTTATCTCGATGTTCTTCATCCTGGTCCATTCTGCAAAGAAAGGAAAGTATTTCCTTAATCACTTGGTTTTTACGCTTACCGAGCATCTGAATAGAAGATATCTCCTACAGCAAGATTCATACCTGTCATCTGTGCTGGAAAATATTCCTCGAGTGACTCCAGAGGAAATAGAGCCTGTATCTCTTGATCGGAATGACAATCAGATAGTAACCCCTATAAAGAAGAATATTACTGGAGTTACTCCTGAGAAAATAGATAGTGAACCTCTGGCTGAAAATGATGATGGGAAGCTTTCTTCAGACAATGGAGATTTCAGTGGTGAAGGACCTCCGAAGAAAGGGGATGAAAAGAAAACATATACACAGCAGAAAACAAAGATGCAAAGAAGAGACACTTCACAGAAAAAAGAATTTGTTGGATGGGGATCAAAATCTCTAATTGACTTTCTTCAGTTTATAGGTCACGATACCAGAGAAAAATTATCCCCATATGATGTGACATCGATGGTAATTAAATATGTAAATGAAAATGACCTTATCCATCCTATTGAAAAGAGAAAAATCCTTTGTGATATTCAGTTAGAAGCTCTTTTGGGGAGGAAAGTGGTAAACAAAGGCATAGTACTTAGCCTCCTTATAAGCCATTTTGTTGAAAATGAGGAGCGATTACAAAAGAATGAGCTTGCTCATGATCTTGAAGACAATGACACAGAAATGTTTGTGGCTTCTAAAACTGAGAAAAAGGTTGAACAAAACAAAAGATCCTCAATTTGGTATTCAACTGCAGCACAAAGTCAATTTGCAGCCTTGATTCCTGAAAATATCAAACTTGTTTACCTGAAGAGGAGTTTGGTTCTGGAGATGATCAAGAAGCCTGAGTCGTTTGAAACCAAGATTATAGGAAGTTTTGTTCGGGTCAAGTTAGATTCACGTGATTTTGAGCTGCGTAACTCTCATCAGCTTGTGCAAATTACAGGTTGTTTTAACAAATGACTTTATTCTTTGATTTGTTTTTTTAATAGTTGTTAACATCCCTCAGTGAACTGCTGTGACTGTGTGTCAATGCTGCATTATGCTCATGTATTCCATACAAAAATTTTTGATACTTGAAATTATCCAAAATATGACTGCTGTGAATATGTCTGAATGCTGCAGTATGCTCATGTCTTCCATTCAGAACATCCGTTTTTTTAACATAAATGATTTATGTTTCCTCAACCAACTTTGTTTACTCTTTTTGTTGTTATCATGGCGTTTATAATCTGTTCAAGCCCATGAAATAAAAGTTGAAACTCAAAACTCATCTTTTCATCTTATGAATTTCCTTTAGGTTTTCCATTGTTGTTTTGTTAATATTGAGAGAAGAGTTCATTCTTAAAACCCTCTATATTTCGTTTGGAACATTAAAACCTTCTTTTCCCAGTTATTATACTTTGTCTGCTCATGTTCTATGGTGCTATTCCTATTTGGTAAGTCAAAGTGTTTCTTCTTTGTCTACAATGTGTTAAATAATTTGGTAAGAGTTTACCAAAATAATTGTTATTAGTGGTAATTAATATGCAGTTTTCAAATATGTAAATATTATTTTGAAAATAGTAAAGCATCGATACAGAATTTACATAGAGGATCAGATGAGTTGATTCCGGATCGCTGCTAAAGTAAAACAAGTTACATTGTCCAACGGTCCAACCCAAAGAAGAAGAGCAGAAAACCTAGTTTGAATAGCTTCAAAGGTTGAGAAAGAAAATTAGAAATAGGTCACTATAATTAACTTTAACAGGATTTGGATAAATCTGGAAGTAGAAATTTGATATGTGAATAGAGTGGAATAGATGGGTGAAAAGATTATACGTGATGAAATAAGATAAATCGAGCTCTTAAAGAAGCTCAGTAAATTTGGAAGAGAAATAAGCAAGCAGGTCAAGTAAATTGGATGGAGAGAGTGAGGCAATGATCATAATCTTATTTTCATCTTCAAAGTCTTAATATAGAATATTTTCTTCTATTAAAAACTTTATGTTGAGCACCAAGTTTGCTTTCAAACTGACATCTTTCTTGTTTAAGCGAGTGTTTCAGGGATCCAGCCTGTATCAAGCGATAACTGCTGTTGCAAGAGTTCAATTCAAGTTTCAAATATTGCAAAAAATGTTTGCTTGAACACGCTTTCTGATGATGAATTTTCTAATGTAACCTACTTCAACCCTTTTATGATCATTCTACCTATATGTTCATTACATAAGATATTGTCAATCCAAGTCTTGTCATGTACAAACAGGTGTAACTCTTCTAACTTAGAGTTAGATTCCATACTGCTAAAAGCAGACTGCAAAAGAGTTGATAATTTTGGATGTTGGTTATTTTCTAGGATATATTTGTTTTAATCTTTTAAAAAGGATCAAAGGTTTTCTCTTGTTTTGAGAAGTTGTGATCATTGGCTGTTTCAGATTTTTGTGTTAGCGGTGTCATAATAGATTTCACTCTTGGAAAAGATCCTGATTGCAGCCAATGATAGGAGGTGCAGCATGTGGATTAGCTATCCTCTTTTTTGTACTAACAGAAGAAAACATCTTTTAACTCTTCTTGTAGGTGCAATTTACACCACAAATATGGGAACTTTATATGTTTTCCAGTTACTGCACAACAACATACTCAGTGTAATCCCATTTCTAGGGTATGGGGAAGGTAGAGAGTATGCATACATCACCCCCTTTATGTTTTTAGTTACGGAAAAAAACAAATTCAGTGACTGAAGAGTGGCTTCATTTGGGTTACCAATATTCTCAACCTTGTGAAAGCTGAGGTAGTTTTGTATGATGATCAAATTGGAAGTAATTTAAAATATCCTAGATGATAAAATATTTGATAGCATTCTAGAGCTGCTGGACTGCCATTGTAATTGGAGCACTCCTATTTTTGTTCAGTCTTTTGAGCTACTCTTGGTGCATTTACACTAATGGAAATGGCTTATCACTTTGAGTATTTGTTGAACTGAGGGAAAAAGCTGATTGAATGTTATTACTAATAAAAAATGAAATGATTGAACGTTTCTAGTAGTCTAGATCCTAATGGAAGCTAGTTTTATGTTTCTTCAGAATACAACATAGCATCTTACCCTTAGTTGATTTGAAGCTGTTACATGTATTCATTTATACTTGAGAAACTTCTTAACAGTGCGGAACTACCCAATGGAAAAAGCTTTCTTGGTTAACCCTTCATTTCAATGTGTTTTGACATTTTTCTCTGTTTTTCAGGAAGAATGTGATGAGTTCAGAAAGAAAGTCAAAGATGGGATTTTTAAAAAGCTTACAGTGGTAAGTTTTTTTGGCTTGTATTTTGACATAACTATTACGTTGAAACATAGTCTCGATGTTATTATATGACTGAAAATTTTAGTATGATTAACTTTTGTTTCCAGTATAAAGTACTCCCAAATAAATGACTTGCCCAAAAAGGGATCACTCCGTAGGGACTGCTCAGTGCAGGTTCTGGTTGCCTCTAGAACAACCCAGTTTCTCTTTTGTTATAAAGTATTTCTCAAGTCTCAGCTCTTCAGGCAACATGCTGCTTGCAACCTACCACATGCTCTCTTGCCTTGTTCTAGGAATCATCCTTTCCCTAAGAGTGACTTGGTCATTTTCATGTATTCTTCATGTCCTGTCATGTGACCCTTCTGGTGGAAGCAACTAGTAGAACCTGGGTAGATCTTGGCTGGGTTAGTGGGACCCAATTCTTAACCAGTTCCGGAAAAAACTCTGATCAAGGGAGAAAGAATACTGGAGTGGCCAAGTGAATTCTCAATCTTCATCTTCTAATCCTGGTCCCTTATCATGAAGGTTGTTGATGGAAAAATGAGTCAATGTAATGCGAATAGGTCCTCCAGTAGCATTAAACATTCCTTTATTTGATAATGTCTCAGTTTTGGTTTCACCAAATAACAGTGCCTGCTAGCTGGCCTTAATCATCGTGTTCCATTTCAAATAAGAAGTGTGACTCACTGAAACCAATCGTCTTTTTTCTTTTTTAGCAAACTCTACAGCGCCAGCTCAAAAGAACTGTTTTCTCGTCATCTGCATGTTACATGAATATTCTTATTCTCCAAAGGTTAAGACAACTTTAGAATTGCATTTTTGGGAAGGCCCCAAGATAGAGTATATCTGGACATTGAACAGGTTTCTGTAGAACATTATCGCAGATCATCCAAACAACATGATTCAATAGTGGGTAACGTGAATAAGTGCACTTAATGCCTAGCAAAGATAATGAGGAAAGCCTCCAGCTTAACACAGTGCTTTTCTAGTTCCCCTTTTACTATACATAAAGACCTTTTGAATTTCCTTTTTTCAAATAAGTGCTTTTGAATTTGTACAACTTCATTGATAATCTTGAGCTACTTGAAAGGGTATATAATTTGCATTTGGTTTTTTATCCTCCTCACTTATGGGCATGGATATATTCCCGGAGTCATGGGGAGTTTTCAGTAAATGGGTTGTGGCGAGACTCAAATCAACAAAATGTTTATTAAATGTTTGAGCTATTAGAGTGCTGATACTTTTATTTTTGTCTTGTACATTTCTGAAAGGATATAAGCTCAATTCCTCAAGTTTCACAGTTATAGATTCATTATGTCTTTACTACCATAAAACTTACTCTCCTATTTGCAGGTGGAGCTTGAACAAAGGGCTAAAATTCTTCATGAGGACATCACGAATCATGTATGGTTTCAATTTTATTTGGATAATTTATTTCCTTAGGAACTTCCTTGTTAAGTCTTGATTGTTTGTAGCTCTACGAGTTTATACTCTATTGGCATATGAGAAAACAAAATATTATCATGCAACACGGACCAAATGTTGTAAAATGATTACAGCTTCCTTTTCAGTAACATGAAAACATTAGGGACCTGTTCATTTTTATCTTGAGTCAATATACATTTAAATATCTGATGACATCTTGGCTTTTTAATGTCAGAGGATTGCTCGAGAGCTGGAACTTGCGCTGCAGAATATTCCTAAAGTGATTCCAGAGGAAGTAGAATCTCTTGATAGGGATGACAATCAGATGCACCTATGCTCAGATGAGGCAACCCTACAAAAGAAAATAATCTTGGAGTGATACCATCAGAAAAATAATGAAAGATGAGAAGGATGGTAGTAAGATGCATCAATGTGCGGTTGTAATGATGCTATGTGCAACTCCCCATCTTCTCCTTTGTTTAAATTGTTATTGTTAAGCCTTTGCTAGGAAACTTTAGTAGATCGTATTTGAAGGAGGGATGATGCTTCTATCAGTTGCAGGTCTTACATTGGTATTTTGAATTTAGTTGCGACAAAGATTATTCAGTTTTAGCTTTGTTATTTATATTACAGCCAGTAAAAACTTTTTCTGAACAGCTTTAGTTATGAAAAAAACCAGGTTTACTCATTTTGAACTTGCATTTGCTCTTGCTCTATATAATGATTCATGGTAAATCTAATTGAATTTATCTTGCTTTTTATATTAAAAAATTATATTTTTAAGTAAACGTATATGTGTCATTGTTGTCATTTTTAGTTAATGTCATTGTTGTCAAATGATTGAAATTTTTTCAAAATTTCAATATTCTTTATTGGTAGGATTTTTTTCCACAATTTCAAATCGTTTAAAATTTGAGCATGGACTCAAAATATACTAGGAAACAAAGATCTAATATCAAATACAGCTACAAAAACACGAATCAAAGAAATTTTTTAAAATGTGGGAATGATATCCATTATTCTGGAATTATTTTTTTTATTCATGTGAATCTTTTGAAGTCTTCAAATGATTTTAGAATTTTGATTTTTCTTTAAAAAAAAATTAATGATGCCGAAATTTGAAATGATTTCGTAAAGGACTGAGAGTACTTTGTGTGTTCTTGGTATTCATAAGGAAGAAGTAGCAGAAATTTAAAAACTCCAATTGAAAAGTGTTGAACTTTGTTTGGGGTGTAAAAATGGTTTTGCAAAATCAGAGTTAAAAAATGGCATGTCTTTTCTTTGACGAATATATCATAAAAGAGCTAAATTTTTAACATATGACATAAACGAGCCTTTTTTAAAAGTTCGAAGAGATATTCAAACATTTTTCCTTTATTAGATGAAATTAATCAAACAGCCAACTATCGGAAGTACATATATATAATTTTGTTTTGATAAAAATATTTCTCAGCTTAAATAGATTTGAAAGTCTAACTAAATAAGTTAGAAAATATTATAAAAGTTCTTTTTTTTCCTTTAATGCATTTATTTAAAAGTAGTCTTATATTAGGAGGGATAAAATTAGAAATAAAAATATTGCAGTTAAAAAATGAGAATCAATGGAAAATAAGAAGTAGAAAGCGAGTCTAAAATGGTTGGACATGTGAATAAAAGTTAAGTGAATGTCTAATGTAGAGATGTGATAGATTGACTATAAATGTAGGTCGAGAAAATATTGGAGAGAAATGATTAGACAAGACATATCACGATTTAAATTTAGCGATAATATAATCTTATATAGGAGACTATGGAAGACATAAATTAAGAGCTAGTATAAATAGTCACGTGTTATCACCTATCGTTACGTGTTAGTAATTTGTAGAAGTATTATTGTAGTTTATTGTTCTTTAATTTCTACTAAAATTTATTGGTTTTTTATACTTCAGTTACAATGTTATTTTGTTGTAGAGATTGTTCTTTTTTCGAACTGCTTTATCGTGCTATCTTTTATATTTTATTTCATTTTCATTTATTAAAGAAAATAGTACTTATTACTTGCTAGTACCCATTTCCAAAAATATTTTGCCATGTCCACAATATACACGTTCACACCATATTTTTAAAACTTTCCAATATTTTCGAGGACCAAATAATTATTTTTTTTAAAAAAAATCCTAATTACTGAATAAGAATATATTCTCACCTCAATTTACAACATAATACTTGTATGTCGTATATATTTTCCTTTTCATATCAATAACATTAATATTATTTTAATAATTTTTGTCCTTTCATTTGTATTTCTATATGTTATTTTCGATGTTTTGATTATTACATAATTTTACTATTATCATTATTCCTTTTTAAAAATAAATAATAATCCACACAATAATGTTTCCCTATACTTAGTTGATATGTCTTATTTACTTATGTACTTTCCTTTTCAAAATATTTTGATATGCGTTATGTACTTGAGTTAAAGGTCTTTTTGAGTCGGTAGTTCTGTCTTCACAAAGTAAAGCTTAGGTATGCGAACATTTTTTACTGTGGGTACTTACGGTTTGAATAAAATTTGATCCATATCAAAATTGAACTAAATCAATTAAATATATTGATTTTTGTTTTAATTTTGTTTGGATAGTTGTAATATCATATTTTTATTTTTATTTTATATAGAAGAGTGAAGTGGAGGATGATCAAGGGCAAAAATATAATTTTACGCTAATAAAAATTTATGAAGAAAGATAATAAATAATTCTAAAATTATCTTTCTATATATGAAGTGAATAATTATCAATGGCAACACGCTAACAAAAATCTTCCAAGAATGATAATAAAAAGATTAAATAGTTATAAAAACATCTAAAGTTATTGTTATTACCATTAACTTATTTTGTTGTTACTTCATTTCCTTTTTATTTCTTTTGTGGGTTATTGTGGTATCTATTTCATTACTACTCTATTTTACCATTAAGTTAATTTAATTGTTAATATTTTTTCTATTCATTATGCTTATTAAAAAGCTTACTTTTTATATAAAAATATTATGAATTAATTATTTTAATCTTTTTTATTTTGGCTCTAATTAATATACTTGAAAATAAATTAGTGTGATAAAATTAATAATATATATTAGATTAAAATTAAAGAAAAAAATGTTAAAAGTAACTTTACAAATAAAAATGAATAGGATGATATATTTGTATTAAAGATGACCAAGAATAAAAATGTAATTTTATTCTAACAAAAATCTATCAAGAATAAATAATTTTATATTAAAGTTAAAAATGTAACTCATGCAAGCAAAAATCTACCAAAAATGATAACAAGAAAATTAAATAGTTCTAGAAACATTTTTAGATATTATTATCAGTATTACCTCATTTTTGTTATTTTTTTATGAGTTATTGTGATATCTATTTATTGTATAGAAGTTAATAAATAATAATTACGCTTAGCTCTTAATAATTATATATCAAGTATAATATTAGGTGAAATCAATCAAAATTAAAATTAAAATTTATATGTATATTAAATTTGTGTATTGAAATACTTTAATTTTGCGATCATGCTATATAAAAAAATTAAAATTCAGAAGTTATTTTCTTTTTGAAATGAAATAAAAAAAATAAGTTCAAATAAATCAAAAATGAGGGAGTCATATATTAAAAATAAAATATATATGTGTTATTATTGAAATGAGCTTTCATATAATATTATTTTTTTAAAAAAAATCGTTTGGCTTCCTTCTATTAATTTGTGCATATATGTGGAGTTTTAAACATTTTAATATAGAAATATAATGATTTGAAAACTTTCATTCTTCGTTTTAATTTCTAATTTGTTACTTATTTGAAAATTACATAAATAAAAAGAAGCTTTAAAAATGCAATGTAACAATTTAAGATATTTTTAGAAAAACATAGTTAAAAAACATAATGAAATTTGGTTGTCTCCCTTATTTTATCGAAACATAAAAATGCATATATTGTTTGAAAATAACGTAAGAACAAAAATGTATTATCAACCACAGTAATATGACAACTAAAAAATGTGAGAATAGAAATTTCATTTACTTTCCGAAACTCACTTGTATTACATAAAATAAAACATGGAATAACATATATTATTCGAAAATAACATAAACGATACTCCATAAAAATTTAGAAAACACATTAAAATTTAGTTTACCTTTTCAAATTTCATTTGTGTCGAATAAATTGGAAGGAAAAAAACTAACATACGTTGGGTCTGCGTTGGCGCGGACACATGATATCTAATATTTATACAAATGAGATCCCTAGGACCGCCTATGTGCCGCGCCACCACAAACCTAGATTCTCTTTTAACTTATTAATTTTCAAAATTAGTCTTCCTTTTCATGAAAAGTTTCGACTTTTACAAAAAAAGTTGTGACTTTTTATGAAAAATTGCAATTTTTACGAAGAGTTGCAACTTTTACATATTTGTGTACTTTGCTCATGTTGAGTGGCTCACTAACACCATTATTTATGTTACATATCCTAGTATGTATTTTTACAGTCATTAATTTATGCTTGTATTATTAATGATACATGATAAGATATTATAATTTTCATTTACATCATGAATGTGTTGTAATCGTTTCGATAAGACACAATAATCATTTGTTCGCACTACCTTTTGTTGTTTATAAATTAAAGACATTCCTCTCATTATGAACAATGAAAATTTTAAACTACTACTTTTTTTTTCTGAACAACTAAATATTTGTGTATTTTGCTCCTGCTGAATGACTCACTGATATCATTGTTTTTGTATCAATACAATGATAAATAGAATAGTTTATATATATATATATATATATATATATATATATATCTTGAGAGAATCTATTTTTTTAAACATCAGGAACTAGAACAGAATAATTTCTATAAAAGGACTCTATGCATTCAATGTGCTTGACTTTTTCCATTTTGTTTCAAAACATTAATTGAGTTTTTAAACATGTTTTCTCT